CCCCCCCCCCCCCCCCCCCCCCCGCTCGTGTGCTCTCTCTCAAAAAATGGATAAACTTAAAAAAAAAATCACAAACACAGTCACTCCTCTAGGACTTTATTTAAATGAATTGTGGCATACATATTGTAAACACGTTTCGTATATTAATATTCATAATAATTCTATGGCATAAGTACTATTATCATATCTATTTTATAAACAAGCATACCAAAGCCCAGGGATTTTAAGTAATTTAATCTTCCTCATCCTTTTTATACTGTGACTTCTTCTGTGCTGTATTTTACAGGGTGTAGTATGCAACCAGTCTATTGGGAAAGCCTGCAGTCTGGCTCAAGTCTATGCACTTCACATCAAAGCCTAATTGTCTCCCAACACAATTATTTGTTTCTGAATTCTTTATTGCAGAGTTCACTAAAAGTACCGTTATTTAGAAACAAACAGTTCTTAAAATGTATAACTTTTACTAAAAAACTTAAGAAAAATTTAATTGTTTTAAAATTGTTTTTCTTGAATACATTTGTTCAAAGGCCTGGAACTTAACAGTCAACTTATTAGAAAGTACTAGCACATTGAACAGTCCTTTCAGGTGTCAAGACTGACTTTGTAACACCTGCCACTGGTGTTAGTTTTTCTCGTTACGGGTAGTTTACTGTTGCAGCCATACAGTAATGAGGAGTGTATCTACATTTGATTAATTTCCTCATCTCCTGTCTGAGGTGTCACAGGAGATTTTGAACATTGACAATAATAATTATACTAATAGAAGATATTTTTAATTCTTTTGTCAAAATAAAGGAGTTTAATGTCATTTTAAAAATTGAGTCTGCTGTAATTCATCAGAATTTTAAGATTTAGGTCTTCCAGTTTTCCATGTAGATTATTCCCTGCAGTAAATTACATTAACAGGTGGAATAACTGCATCTACATTCTAGAAGTAATTAATTAGTGTATAATCCTGTAAGGTTGATTAGGAAGCTGTTTCTATTTTTGGATATATCTTGTTGATTGGACATTTTCTTTGTAGGTTATGGTTATCAACATTTAAAGTTTTATGTTTAAACGTTAATTTTTGGATTAATGGTCTTGTGTAGGTTATCATCTGAATGTTCCGTATTTCTCTTTCTGTTAAACTACCTTGTGTTCTTTTGCCAATAATTTTTTTGGTAGTATTTACTAATGTATATTAAATGTTGGGGCACCTGGGTGGCTCAGTTGGTTAAGCATCCAACTCTTGATCTCTGCTCTGGTCATGATCCTACTGCTCATGAGTTCAAGCCACACCTTGGGTTCTGTGCTGTTAGAGCCCACTTGAAATTCTCTCTCTCCCTCTCTCTCTCTGTCCCTACCCTGCTTGCACATGCTCTTGTGCTTTCTCTAAATAAATAAACTTCAAATGTATATCAGTACACAAACACATCCTAGGCATATGTAAAAAATGGATATTGGGGCGCCTGGGTGGCTTAGTCGGTTAAGCCTCTGACTTTGGCTCAGGTCATTATCTCATGGTTTGTGAGTTTGAGCCCCGCCTCAGCCTCTGTGCTGACAGCTCAGAGGCTGGAGCCTATTTTCAGATTCTGTGTCTCCTGCTTTCTCCCCCTACCCCGTTCACACTGTGTCTCTCTCAAAAAATAACCATTAAAAAAAATTTTTTTTAAGTGGATGTCAGAGTTTGATCACAACAGGTAGGTTTTACAAAGATTACCTCAAGATTTGTTAAGAGTTGTAAAATATGATTCAAAATGGCATACCTCACCTTGTAAGATACGGCAAAGGAAAAAAAATACATGGTATAAAGTTGGATTCTTCTTTAGAAGCAGACAATTCCAAATATAAGCAAGCTTACATAGATAATAACTTTTATTGTCATAAACTCATCTACATTTTCCTAACATTCAGGCTTTAACCAACTTTTATATGTTCAGCTGAATCTAAATGAATTTATTTCCGACATAATCCTTTTCTGTATTGTAGGCACAGTTGAGCCAACATCCGTGTCAATTCTAGGATATAATTTAGAACCATGACGTACTCAATTTATGCTGTGAAAAGTTTTATCGAGTTGTGTTCAGTATTTTTAAAAATTTTTTTTAATTTAATGTTTATTTTTGAAGGAAAGAGACAGAGCATAAGCGGGGGAGGGGCAGAGAGAGGGAGACACAGGATCCAAAGCAGGCTGCAGGCTGTCAGCACAGAGCCCGATGAGGGGCTCGAACTCACAAGCTGTGAGATCATGACCTGAGCTGAAGTCAGATGCCCAACCGACTGAGCCATCCAAGTGCCCCGAGTTGTGTTCAGGATTAACAGCATTCCTATCTCTAAGACTATTAGACATTATTCCTATGATTTCTATTCCATTTTAATTTTTGACATTGTTTTCTGTTTATTACAACAAGGCAAGTACTCTCAGTTTTGGGGTTAGATTCAGATTCTTAGGAGATTTGTTCCTTCTTCCTATATAAATTCATTGAAAACTATTTTCAGGGCTGTTTGCCTCTAAAAGCAATTGTTCATAATTGAGGCAGATTTTCCCTTGTAGGAATTCACAGCTGTGAAGAGAAAGTTCTCTTTCCCAGTGGGTTACTAAATAGGCTTTTGTGAGAATTTACTGGAATATTTTTCCTGATGAAAGAGTCAAAGACTAAGAGTCTGTTGTTCTTGGTGCTAATAGAACCAGAACACCTGCAGCTGAGCATTTACACTTTGGAAAGCAGAACTAATGTAAGGTCTTCTTTTATGTAGGGAGTAGTTTGAAAGCAATAATTTTTCTTAAAAAATTACAATTCAGACATGATCTTTGTTCCAAATTAGAGGTTTTAACAGTGAAAGCTCATTGAAGTATGCAGTCAAAATAAAACTCACATACAGCATTTCCTATGTAGTATAGCTTTGTGCATTCTGCTAATGTACACATATTTAATTGGCAAACATGAAGCCTTTTACGGTGTCCACTGATTTGTGTTAATACTTCCCTTTCTTGTTCCACTTTGTTTCTTAATCACCCAATTCATAAAAACCCCATTTGGGGAAAATGCATCCCTGCTATAGGAAATCACTACTCAACCCAAGCCACTGTCAGCTTTCTTAATGGCATCTGTTTCCATCCTACTCTCGCTTCCCTGTTTACTGTGAGGTTAAGAGCACACATAGTGAGCTAACCTTCCTGTGTTTAAATTTCGGCTGTTACAGTGGCATGGCCTTGAGTGAGCTATTTATTTCATCTCTAGGTGGCTTCAGCTTCCCTCTGTAAAATGGATATTACAGTACCTCATATGCTTTTTCCATCCATATCCTCATTGTGTAGTCCCTTGCCCCATTTTTTCCTTATAGCACTTATCCCCACTGGTTCTATATCGTTCAGTATCTTTCTCTCCTAACAGGAGTGTAAACTCAGCACAGGGTTTTATTTTGGTCATTGTTGTAGTCCCACACCTAGACAACCTGGCATAGGTGGTGCTTAGTAAATACTTGCTCAAAGGCTGTATACAGATGCTGGGTTAAGAACCAATGTTTTCCTGACAACTACTGACCTTACTTTTATTATGCACCTTTTTTTTTTTCTTTTTCCCATGGTATGACCCTGACATTTCCTACTCCAGTATTTTTACTTAATCCAGGTTTTCTCATTAGGCCACTATTCACTTTTAAAAGATAATCTGGGCTTTTAGAAATAAAAACTAAATTCTTATTTTGCAAAGTAAAGGATAAGCAAGCACAGTGAAACTGCTGATACTATTTTCAAAGGGAAATATTCAGTACTATGTAGTAAATTGAACTGTATACTTATCCAGATAGTTTGAACTTTTAGTTTTTAATATAACAGATCTACCGACCTATAAAGATCCATGGACATTTCAGATCAGATAATGAATAATACTTTGAGTAAAGCACATATACTTACAGTTACATATACTTAGTTACAATTAAGTTTTTCTTTTTTCTTTTGCAGATTAATGACGCCAGAGAGTGAGATAAGATTTGTCCACAAAGAGATGGGTATAATACCAAGCTGGGGCGGTGCTACCCGACTAGTTGAAATAATCGGCAGTAGACAAGCTCTCAAAGTATTAAGTGGGGCCCTCAAACTGGATTCAAAAAAAGCTTTAAACATAGGAATGGTTGACGAGGTCTTGCAGTCTTCAGATGAAACTGAATGTCTAGAAGAGGCACAAGAGTGGCTAAAGCAGTTTATCAAAGGGCCACCAGAAGTAATTAGAGCTTTGAAAAAATCTGTTTCTTCAGGTAAAGAGCTTTGTTTTGAGGACGCATTACAGAATGAAAGAGACCTTTTAGGAACAGTTTGGGGGGGACCTGCAAATAAAGAGGCTATTGCTAGGAGACGAAAATTTGATAAATAATTTTTTAAAATATGACGTACTACAAGAAAAACTCCAATAAATTAATAATTATAAAGTTAAATATTAACTAGGAATACCAGAATTACTTCGAAGGCTACACTTAGTATTTGATTTAATAATTTTTTAATATCTGAACTCATTGACCTAGTTTTCAGTATATTTGGGTAATTATCAAGTAATGTAGAACATTTGGTTAAAATATACAACACTTTTGGCTTAAAAATTATCAATTCCATAGTAGTTCTTAGCCTGTAACAAAAGACCAGTTTTTGAGAGGAAAAACCTCTCCACAGAACCTATTCCTGGGTTATTTTTCATGGTGTCTGTTCAGTCTTATCTGGAAATAATTTACAAAAATAACAGTGAAATTTGCACTAAAGAACAAAAGTGGAAGAGGGGTCAGGGAACAAGATAAGAAAAGGTATGATCATTTTCTTCTGCCTTAATCAGCGGTAATAGGTAAAGAATTGGGGAGAGGTGCTTGGCTGGCTCTGTTAGTGAAGCATGTGACTCTTGATCTTGGAGTTGTGAGTTTGAGCCCCATGTTGGATATAGAGATTACTTAAAAAATAAAAGAATGTTTAAAAATAACTGGAGGAATGCCTGGGTAGCTCAGTCGGTTGAGCATCCAACTCTTGATTTCAGCTCAGGTCATGATCTCATAGTTCTTGAGGCTGAGCCCCCTGTCCACAAAGAGCCTGCTTGGGATTCTCTCTCCCTCTCTCAAAATAAATAAATAAACTTAAAAAACTTGGGGAATTGGGGCACCTGGGTGGCTCACTCGGTTAAGCGTCCAACTTTGGCTCAGGTCATGATCTTGCAGTTTGTGAGTTCAAACCCTGCGTCAGGCTCTGTGCTGACAGCTTAGAGCCTGGAGCCTGCTTCTGATTCTGTGTCTCCCTCTCTCTCTCTGCCCCTCCCCTGTTCACGATCTCTCAATAATAAATAAACGTTAAATTTTTTTTTAAATAAAAAAATAAAATTTGGGGAATGGCTTTTTTTTTTCTATGGCTCTTTTAAATAAAAATGCTCCCCACCTTACCACCCTACAAAATTTGGAGCCTTACTGCATATTTTAGTAGTTTCTATTTTAAATGATCTACTAAACAACCATAGCCATCACGTGGAAAGTCTACTGACTCTACAAAATTGGCCATGCATTTGTATGCCCTGGGATTTCCGAACTAGTAAGTAGTACTGTTTAGTTTACACAGTAATACAATTTAACTTTACATCAAAACGTCCTGACATCAAAAGGACTCATGATGCATCACTGTTACATTCGCATTTTATATCAGATTTCTATTTTTTTTCTGAAAAGTGGCTAACCTTTCTTTTTTAGAACTAGCTCTATTTTGAAAGTACACTTAATAAAAATGCACAGCTCAAACTTTTATGATCTCAATGACACAGGCTTTAAAAGTAAGTCAAAGAATGAAGTCCCAGTTCTAACCTATCACAGCAAGGGATAAAAGATAATTTCAAAGTAGTGGCAGTTTTTATTTGCTCTTGTAACATTCAATTCATACTTGAAAAACATATTAAAAGTAACGTGCATAGGCTTCAACATGATCCTACTGTTTTGAGTTAAAACACTAAAACTCACACTACCTTTTTTCAGAACCAAATTCTGGATTTCCAAGGTAACCCAGGACTTCCTATCTTGCCATAGAGTCTACATTTTGTGTGAATTTGTGTCTAATGCTGTTTACAAATAATACAATTTAACCCATTAGTGTCAGGCCACTAATGAAGACTGGCAAGGAAAATCTAGTATGGTCTCCACTACCAGTTATGTAAGAAATTTAAGTCTCACGGGCTGTAGATTTAATTCCATACACACTTATACCGTGCAATTGCTTGTAGATTCTGTTTAATTATCCTTTATGAATAAATCAAACTACAAGCAGGTGACTAAGCTGAATACCACCACTCCAAACCATCACCTGTTTATTAACCTTTGGCCACTAATGTCAAAATGTTTCCATCCTCTTTCCAGACTCAAACAACAGACAAATTATTTTTGATAAACTCTAGTATTTATTAAATTATAAATTCTGTAATCAAAAAGAAAAATGCAGATCAAGAGGAGCCTCAAACTACAAGGACTAGACAGCAAAGCCTATGGGAAACGCCATGAAGTATGTTACAAGATTCTGAAACATAAGTTATTAACTGTTTTCTTTACATTTCCATTTCAGTAACTTTACTATTTAATAGTTGTTATTCATCTATTTTAAAATTCCAAATTCACATCTATTTTCATATTAATTAAGCTTCCTGTTCATACCGATACCAGACATCTCATAGGTGCCAAATTTTAGTAATGGTTTTACGTCAATCCATGCAGGAAAATAAGACACAATGCAAGAATAAGATGAAGACTGTTAATGCACAGATAATAAACACACACTGGCCAAAAGAACTGAAGAAATTTTAAAAACCTATAAAACAGACCTCAAAAAAACTGGGTTATTACTAAACAACTCTCAACTATTAACGCCCGAGTTCCTTATATTAAATAAATTCCTCAACAGAGACATGTTAAACATTTTTATTACAGGTCTGTCCTCCCCATACCCCTTCCCACCCCAACTCACAAAATGCACTACTAGGGATGAGTATAATGTTATGTGGGCATAAATTTACAGATAACCATTTTAACCTTGAAGAGTTTATTTAAACTTCAGTTACTGTGCACTGTCCATCAGGCCTTCTAGATCTGACACCAGCACTTACTGTTCCACCCCCTGCTACTGACAGATCAGTTCCTGATCGATCAGATACTGTCTGGTTTGCATTAGGAACCAAAAGTCTCTGTTGGGTCAAGGAGTGTTGTGCAACAAGCGCAGATACATCCTCACTATCACTACTGGCATCTGATTCAGTTTCTTCAATGGAGGTATCTGGTGCTGGTACCCTGCCTGAAGATGGTGATTCATGATCTTCTTCTCCTTCCCCCCTATGACTCCTTTCAGCTATGCTGTCTCCACTGAGTTGTAAATGAGCAAAAGAGTCTTCCAGAGAAGTGCTTGCATCAGGGGATGGTGTTGCAGGGCTTGTTAACTGACCATCTACTGATGTTAGGGGCCTTACAGAAGACACTAGAGGCTGAACAGAAGCTCCACTCTGTGCTGATAGACTGTCCGCTCCATCTGCAGAGCTCTCTCTCGCTAGGTTTACAGTATTAGCGTCACAGTCCAGCCTAAGTCCGGCTACTCCCTTCTTTGGTATATCTATTATATCCCGCTTAATCTTCCTGCGACGTCCATGTTCATTTCTCCTGTATTGAACCATATTTTCAAGATCAGCAACATACAGAAACCCGGCAATTAACATTTCAGTGCTCTTTTTACCTTTGGAAAAAGCATCTTCCAACTCTCTACTAGTGCGCTCATCATACTGCCACCACCCATTTCTTCCTTCATAATACCATGCATATTCACCATTTCCTCTACTCGCTGCCTTGAGCTCTTCTGGTGACAATAAGGTTGGCTTGTCAAGGAAATCTTCGGGAATTTCTTGTCGACAGAGGGCACATCGCTTTCCAAGCCATGAAGCTCCCTTTACGCACAGATAGCAGAAAACATGCTTACAAGGCAGACTGACTGGGTGAACACATGTTTGCAGACAAATGGCACATTCAGGGACAGTTAGAGAAGGTGCAGTATTAGAACAGGACTCATTCGCTTTCCTGTTCGTAGGAAGCATGTTTATTGAGTGATCAATTTCACCACAGCCAGCCATCCTAAGAAAATGAGAGAAAATACATGTGATATTAAAATTGTGTTTCAACTCTTCTAATATTGTAATTCAACAATTCAGAAAAACACTTATTAAACACCTACTGTATATGTGTACTACATACCAGACAATGAGGAACAAAATAAAAGAGAAAAAATCTAACTTGTGTAGAAAAAAACTTTTTGATTTTGTTAGGTCATTAATTTTTACACTGGCGGGGGGGGGGGGGGGGGGGGGGGGGGGGACAAAGGGGCACACAAGTAAATGTTAAGCCAAAAATAAATACAACCAAAGTATAGATTTTAAATAAATATACCATTTCTATTCCGTCACAGAACTTATGAGATATAAGTAAATGCAAAGATTTAAAAATGTAAATTCCATTCTAGACTGACTTTTCCAATCAGTGTAGAAAGCACAGAGAAAGTGGCTAAAAGTAATTTAGATTACAATTACAGATGGTGACAATTTTGTAGCCCTTTACAATATTACTAAGTGGTAGCTTTGCAAATGCTGCCATATAGTAACATACTTTGGTACCTGACAAGTAGACCATATGAAATTAAGATTAAAACTGAAATCCTAGAATTTCTCTACTCCTGCTGTATATTTAAAAACACTGGTAAACCAGTCATTTCATTTCCCCTCCATGAAGCACTCTTCTTGTGATGGCCTTTTCTTGTTGCCTTTTTCTAAACCATATGCTCTTGCTTACTCGTTCAAGATGATCTCATCTACACCCATGGCTTCAACGGTTACTTATAAACAAATGACTCAGTAATTGGTATCACCAGCCCAGGTCTCCTTTCAGCCCTAGATCTAGATTTCTAATTGTCTATTTTAGAATTCTTGCTGGATGTTTTGAGGGCAAAAAACCCCTGAACACACGATCTGTTCCTTGCTTATTTACTCCCTAAAAGCTCCCCACTCCTGATGACACCATTATTCATCTGCTTTTTTAAGCCAGAAATTCATCATTCAAACTGCCCTTCGCCACGTCTTCTCATCCAAAACATCAGCAGGTCTTATCAATTTTATCCTAAGCATCTCCTGAATCCATCTACTATACATTTCTACCCTTCCCTCGCCACCCAGTAAACACTGTTTATGAAATTACTGAATATGCCTTGTAATTGGTCCAGCCTTACCTGTTTTGCTTAAAAAGCTGATCTTAGGATAAAGACCAGGATCTATGTGCAATGGTCCCCACCCACCACCAGCCTCATATATTAAACTTCTCCTTGATCAAGCTTCTAGCCACAATGGCTACTCCCTCCAATAAAAGGTTTTTTTCTCTGTATGAACATTTCTTCACTTCCTGCCTCCCATATCCCCCATGGACCAACTACTACTCATCTTATAGCCCTCCTGAGAAACCCTCCATGACTAGGTCAAATCACCCTATTTCTTTTTAACTGCTTACTAGCATGTATTTCTCATTCCTAGCGCTTATCAGAATTGCAATGTTACGTTTATGTGTGTGACTATTTTGTTAATGTCAGTCTTCCCCATAAGCAGGTGGGCTTTTTAAGGGCAGGAAACAGGTCACTGTTGGCTCGTCTCTGTATTCTCATACAAGACCAGGCAGATAGAGAACACTCAAATATTAGCTAAGGAAACGAATATAGGTTTTTCAAAGAAGAATATAATACACCATATTATAAAACATGTTTTTGGGTTTTATTTTACTTTAAATAACATTAAGTTAAACCATCTGATTGATAAACTTTTTTTTAAAGCATTTACTTGTGTATACCTTGGGAATGTATAAAAATTCTGTTAGTACACTTAAAGATCAGCCCTGAAGCAGCATACTGAAAACTATAATGAAAAATTGCAGATGGCCAAGGGAGAAAGGATAACTTGAATTAAGGCAACTGTTATACAATGAAACCAACCTAGATAAGAACTGTAAAAACCTGAGTCTCCCTCTCCCTTATTTTGTACTCTTCAGCACTCAGTTAAACCCAGTCTAAATTTCCTTACCTACAAATCAGTTTATAAAAATTAGGTGAGAATAGCTAAAAAAAAACTCCAAAAAGACCCCACAAAACACTTTACTAAGTGTTCACTAAAGCTTCATTCACTAAAGCTCCACAAATGTTAAAGCCAAGAGAAAACGACTTGAATATTGTTGTCCTAAAGCAGGAGAGGGGGGAAAAAAGGGACATTTTTCAAACTGGATGTATAGGGCTTAAATACTGACATAAAATTTGTTAATTTCTGCCTTATTCAGATGAGCATTTATTTAAAAACTATGATAGTCCATTTATAATGTTGAGTATTTGATGGATCTAAAGACACACCTACTTTGTTAAATAAAAAACATTAATGCAAGAAAGCAATAATCACAGTATGGCCTAATTCTTGCAGTAAAGTGTTAGATACTTATTAAAAGTAATAACGAGAGGCAGATGAGAAGATGGATATAGGCCAGAAAGTTTGGAGTGCAGAGCAGTGGAAAAGATTAAAGGCAGAGACATGTGCACAACACCGAGTCAAATAAGCAACTGAAGCGTAAAATGAAGCTGTAAAAGTAATCAGAAGCCAAACATGAAAATCTTTTTGTGCCCTGCTAAGGAAACATCTGATTTTATTTTATCCCATGGTACTAGGAAACCATAGATATTTCAAAGAGGAGAGAAAATGATAGAGGGAGTAGACCAGTAGTTAGTAAACAGAAATAGAGGTAAAAGATCTCACAGTGATTGGCAACCATTAATTAACTGCTGCTTAAAATGAGTGACAATCTCTACCATTTGATTCTGTGTTTTAAACAAGGAATATTTCAAATTTTATCACCATATGGATCTATGCTTTTTTCCAAAATCAAGCATTCAAAAAAGGGCACAGTGGTTACAAGAGTAGTCATTAAAAATGTTTATGCTCATCAAAACTTCAAAAACAATGCTCCTAGACTTTCATCACATCCTATCTGTCCAACAATCCATTCTCTTATTGCTTTTCTGTGTCCTTGGTTCCTCAATAGGCAAGGTTCAAAATGACAGCAAGTTGTTGAAAACACCGTACTTAAATAGAAAAGGAAGCAACACATAAGCTCAATAGAAAGAAATGATCACTATGAAATATCTGATTTCCAAACTTTGTTTCAACTTTTAATTACATTTCCAATCAACTCCTTTACCAGAAACTCTAGTTACATAAAGTACAACTTTTTCCCAACCTATGGTAAGTTCTACCAAATATGAACTCTTCATATGTGTTAGGCACTTATAGAAGCTTCAAAGTATTTTGAGATAAACTCTCACCTTCAAAGACCTTGTAACTTAACAATCTAAACTGTAAGTGAAAGCTCCTGCTTCTCAACTGGTCAATTAATGCTCCTCACCTATTTCCCCTAAAAAGAACTGACTGTGCATACCACATCTTGTTAGGCTCTCCACAACTCATATGTATTTCTTAAATACAAAATATCTTAGTACTTCCCAAAGTAGTGAGAGAAAGAGTACCACATATTTCAGTTACATTTGGCAAAAGAATGAGAATACTTTTATCTGCTCCAGGTAACCTTACACTTTGGTAAGAGTCTATGTACATTACTTTCAATTCTACCAAATATAACCTGCACCTAATGTACCTGTAAGAGGTTTTTAAAAAATCATACTCATGCTATGCTTCTGAATCTTCAGCTTTCTCCTTAGTAAAACGGGGATAATTCATGTTCAATTCAAAATTATTGTAAAGTGAATACATTAAATGAAAGCATAAAACTGTATTTGAAAACCTCTTTTAATTCATCAGGTCCTATTGCTACACTTAACTTTTTGGTAACAAAAACAATTAAAATTAGCTACAGAATGGAAGAACAAATAATATGTATCTTCTTACATCCCTTTCAATTTAGGTTAAAGAAATTAGTTGTCAGTGAAATTCTTTTTTTAAATTTTTAAATGTTTATTTGAGACGGG